AAGAGATTTTTGCTATAGGGCACATGCACTCACCATAAAGACAGAGAGACAGAAAGCAAGAAATCACCCCCCATGGGGGATGGCCACGCCACAATCCCTTCTCCTCTGTTCTCCTCTTGGGATCTTAGGCACGCACACACATGCGCCTGGTGTGAGTTTAAGCCAATGGGTCAGGGACTTGTACTGCGGTCAGCTACATGGTAGTCCAGCAACATAGCCATTACAGTAACTGCTGGTCCCAGGAATTCCTTAACCACCATACCACCTGCTGGCCCCAATATGGAATTCCTAATATTTTATTGTATTTAAAGTAAAGAGAATTTGGGGCCAGCGGGTGGCATAGTGGTTAAGGCACTGGACTCCCACATTGCTGACTGACATTTTGAGTCCCAGACCTGGTGGCTTGAAAATCATGTTAAGTGCATGTGTACATGCATCCCTAAAATAATGAGAAGAGAATAGAGAAGAAGGGATTGTGCTGTGGCCATTCCCCTGAAGGATGATTTCCCACTTTCCCTCTCACTGTCTCCTTCTCTGTTTCTCTCTGGCTAGTGCACATGCCCTGTGGCAAAAATCTAAAAGAAAGAGAGAGAGTGAGAGAGAGAGAGAGAAGAATTCAAGCCAAAGAAATAATAAAAACAATACTAAAGTTTATAAAACTAAAATACTATTTTTTTCTCTGTAATTGCCAAAGGGTACACGTGCTTATCATAGAGAGATCGGCAGGGGCGGGGGTGGTGTGATGTGGTGCCATGAGAGCACCACCCATCAGAGTGTAGTCATTCCACAATCACTCTCCTCCATCTCCCTCCTGTTGGGATTTAGAGCATGTATGCACACATGCCTGATGTGTTTTTTGGCTGTTGGGACTGGGATTCAAATTGCATTCTGCCCTGTGGAATCCAACTCTGCCACCATTAAGTTATAGGACCTTAAAATACTATTTTTAATACAGATAGGTGATGTTATTATATCATAAAGAGGTGGTTACTTCTAAAGGCTTTTTAAAAATATGTACATTTTTCTGATATATTTAAAGTGAGAAAGTTATTTTCTAGGATAGTTGTTCCCATGGAAAGTATGTTTAGATATTCCATTGTTTTGTGCACTTTGAACAATTGTCAAATTTGACTTTGCGTCAGTTGCTTTTTTTCCTTTTTCCCTGCTTGTGGACTTGTGTACTCTCCAGAGAGAGAGAGAGAAGAAAAGCACTTCCCAGTGAGGCATTGCTTTCCCACAACCCTTTTCCCTCCATTTCTCTATCCCATTAATACTTTGGGCATCCATGTACATGTGCCCAACATGTTTTTCAAGCTGTCTGGTCAGGGATTTAAACCATGGTCAGCTATGTGGGATCTGGTTTCCTAGGCATAGCCCTTAACCACTGCACTACAGGGCCAGCCCCACTTTAGTTTTGAAATTCATATTAAAAATTAAAGGAGAACTCACAAACTTTTGGGAAATTAATTTTATTGTTTTTTAGAGGTCTTTGTGTATACTTGGCCAGAGATAGAGAGACAGAGACAGTGAGAGGGAAAGTGAGCAATCACCCCTGGGTGCTGAATGTGCCCAACATGAGTTTTAAGCCACCTGGTCCTGGGCTTGAACCACAGTTGGCCATGTGGGAGTCCAGCTTGGTAACTACTATGCCATCTGCTGGCCCCGGGAATTCATATTTTTAAAATATTGATAGTTTTAGTGTATGTTCAGACCTATGCAATAAAAGATGATTAAAGTAGATGATTATTGTTCTTTGGCCAATAGTATGATTCTAATCATTTAGATAAAGTTAGATGAAGAAAAAATATAAAAGTAATATATGTCTGGATGGATAGATGTGGAATGATCTGCATAGATCTTAGAAAAACAGAAGTGAAGAAGTCTCAGCAAAGCATGGAGTGGAAGAGAATAACGGTCTCTTTGTAAGTCTGTATGAATCATATTATAGTTTGTTGACATTAACTATTAATATTATCTAATTCATTTGCCTTATTTACATGTATAAAGTAACCTTTTGAGTGTAATTTGGGTTCTTTTTTAGTCTGGGCTGCTATAACAAAATGTAGAAAAAGCGGTAAACTGGATAGCTTCTAAACAACAGAAATTTTTGTAAGGGTACTGGTTTCAATTCATGAAAGATAAGATCTACCCTGTTTTTGTAATCACCTCCCAAAGGCCCCATTTTCTCATAACCTTATTGTTTAGGATTTCAATTTAAATTTGGGGATGTTAACAAATATTTAGACCACAGCAGCTTTCTATATAAGTTTCCAAAAAAGAGAAAATATACTAATTTACAACTATTAACATTGGTTCAGTTCAGAGTGTACCATATCTCTCATGTATACATTTATTTCCTTTTTTTTTTTTTTTTTTGAGAGGATTCTGCTATAGGGCACGTGGGCTTGCCAGAAAGACAGAGACAGAGAGACAGAAAGCGAGAAATCACCCCCTGGAGGGGATGGCCACACCGCAATCCCTTCTCCTCCATTCTCCTCTCGGGATCTTGGGCACGCACACACATGCACCCGGC